GAGCCTTGTGATGTCAGTTACAGCTGTACAAAATTAGTATACAATTTCAGGAAAATCAAACTAGTGGTGTTTTTTCACTGGTTGTTGGTAATTATTGGCTTTCTCTGCTTACTCAAAGAAGTCAGACACAACATGCACAGCCTTCTACTCTCATCTTTCAACTATCTTTGAAGCTTAGATATACTGACAGCATTGCTCTAATACCTGTCCTGGGAGAACCCAGGCTGTACCTTCTCACCGGAGCAAGTGGGATCAGACCCAGGCTTCCAGAAATTATCTTTGCTGGAGTACAGTTAGAATTTTAATGAATACAGAGTAAAGTCTGAAATAAAGGAATCTCCAAAATGTAGGCCTAGTGAAAGAGATCTGTTGGTGCTCCATGAAACACTGATGTAAGTAGTTACATGGATATGGGAACTCAGTATTATTGGTCAGGTAAAAGGACACAACTTTGTAGTGCCTCAAAATTGTTGTGAAATATTCGAGGCCAGATTTTCAGATGATGAAACCCAGGAGATTATCATGGAAGAAAATAAGGTTTGCTAACCTATTCTAGATGATAATCTAATCCCTGGAGGGTTTTCATATGATCATAAATTACTGGAACACCCACATCCTTCGAACAAACCATCACTGAAAAAAATAATTTGCCCTAATGGGTCACAGAAATATTTATATTTCCAGTTCTGTCATTCGTGACATACAAATACCTTAAAATAATCATGTATGTAGATATGTATGTATGCATGTATGTTTGTATGTGGAAACTAAATCTTGCAGGCAAATATTTTTGCACTGTCTTAAAAAAATGGAAGACATCTTTTCTTGTTGCACAAAGAAACGAAACCATGATAAATCAGCCCATGAAAATGAAGTATCCCAGTGCTGACACAGGAATAGATCCTGAGTTCATTAGACAAGCTGGAGAAAAAGCAAAAGAATTAATTTTACAGTAAAATTAGACCACTTTCTCTCAGTATAGCTTGAGTAGAATTGTCTTTGTTATCCAGTATGTACAGCCCATGTGTTTTCTGCTTATCTTCAGGAAATTCAAATGTATATTCTGAGTGGTCATCAAAATTCATTATAAGGAACAGTGAAGCACAATTAGCTAGGATAATTTAAGATGTCTCATTAGAATTGATCAAAAAATACATAGAGGCAGCTTGGCCTTTAAAGAGCTTGGGAATGTTGGTGACCGTATTTTTTTTGGCCATTATATTTGACAAGGGTTATGTGTATTTTATGCATATGTACTGAAATATGTACTCTTTTCTTGCATGTAAGTTTTGTCCTACCAGAAAAAGATTAATTTGGCCATTTGTCTGGAATTTCTAAATGTTGGTATCCTGGAATTCCTAGTGATGCAAGACCTCCGCAGTTATCACAACGTGAGAACGATTTTGCATGCATTAGTTGTTGTATCTACTCAGGATTTTCCTATGCATGCAGTTCTTTCTGCTATGAATGCCTCTGTACAACAGTAACTTTATAAATATGTCTGTTTTCAAAAGGCAGTGTATGTAGGAGAAATGTGGTACTTGTTTCCTTTCTAAGAATTTTCTCTTGTCTACTGATGCACTATTTGGAAGGAGAAAATACGAGCTAGGAAGGATGGTTGCAGAGATAAAGCATAAGACTAAAGATTAGGCATGGATATGTCATTTCTTTTAGCCAGTGACTCGATGACCCATGTGTAAAGAGGAGATAACTCTTCTTACCATACTGTTAATGCAGAAGTTAACCCAAGTGCATAAAAATCCATAGCAATATTATGTGTGCCATAAAGCAGGTACACATTTATTTCCTAAGAGTTGTCTAAGGAAGACTACCTGACTACTTTGATAGCCTAAAAACTGCAGTCTAAGGAACTATTGTGCCAGCCCTCTCCCATTTTTCCAAACAACAGCACTGTGATCCAGTGTACTGAAAGATCATCTAACCTGAGGGGACTGAAACAGCTAGTAAGTGTCTACATTCAACTTCATTTGCTGACCTTCCCATTTATTAAATATTATGTAGGAACTTGCAGTGTCTGAGCACAAAAAAAAAACCCACCTTTGGCATTCCTTTGGAATTCTTTGCACCTCCTAACAATCCCTTATTACTAACATGCTGCTCTAAATTTGGCCTCCAACATAGATGCGCATATGAGATGCAGTAGCCTTTATAGAGAAACTATCTTCAGATATTGAAATACATCATGAAGAAAGACTTCCAACTCAGGCATAATGTTCCTCACTCTCTAAATATATACAGTTATCCCAACTGTTATATACCCTACTGTGTCCTTGCAACTATGGAAAAATCATATCAAGAAGGAAATTAAAGTACAAATTTACAATATATGGCAATAACTGTGGCACAAATGACGGCAACAGTGTACCTTCCTGCTGTGTGTTAACTTCAGCTCTGCTGGCAAAGTGACAGCAAGTTTGGAGAGAGAAGAGGAAAGCAAAACAGAGCAAAGAGATCATCATTGGATAATGGAAGTAGCAGCCTCCACTTCTTTGGATGCGACAAGAAACTACATTAGCTTCCTCTTCGGTTTGAATGTGAAGGCAAATATTTTAATACAACAAATCAAGGACAAAAGCATGTGAGATGCTGAGAACTTCACAACTCTCTGAAATAGCTTGTAGTGAGTCTGACTGCAAAAGACTGAAAGGCATTTGCTACATGGAGAATGAATGATTTTGCAAGTACCTATTTACTGCAGGAGGACTACTGTATATTTCATGCCTAGCAAACAGTACCCTATGCCTCCCACTTGCCAAGTAAGTAATTCAGCAAAAGCAGATTGATTTCCTAACCGCACTGCAATGTTTCATCCCTGGACAGAGATGAAAATCCTTTTTATATTTCTTTAAGATTTGTGGGGAAATACATTCATCAGGATGTCTTGAGACTAACTGAACAAATATATCAGTAAACATTTAAGGCATTATGATATCTGCATTGTCCACCAGGACTTCAGGAAACTTAACTGCAATAAAAGCACAAAGACTGCCACAGCTCCATTTCAGTGTCTTAGAAAATACGCATTACCTTTGGAAAGCATAAGGTAAATATGAAAACACACATGTACACACAAATATCCTACATCCGTTCTTGCTCTTTTTCTGATTATTCAATAACTAGGGCCTACGTATAACTAAGTAATTGGATCACTGGCACCAAAAGCAGTTAAAAACTCCTAATATTACCAGTCAAAACTAATGATGGAATTCCAGAGCCCTGTGTATCATTGTGTCTTCAGTGTGCCTTTGGATTTTAAAATCCAGCTGTAAACTGACAAAACACTTGATAAACGATGCAACAGGAAGTGGTCTCAGTAACTTCATTAGTCTTTTTATCTTCACTGGATCTGTCATCCAGCTCCCCACACATCACCTACCAAGCAAATATACTGACTTTGCAATGGTGTATCTGATATACGGAACAGGGCAGAAAGCAATTGAGGTCACTGTGTTTATTTACATGATATAATCTGTAATTGATAGATCCTTTTCTGAAAGGTGTTTTATACAGACTAGTAACAGTAGAAGAACTTTATCTCCCTACTCCTGAATAACAGAGAAGAAAGTTTTCTTTAAGATTCTTAAAGGGCTCACATTACTTTACTACAGAGACATCCTTTACTGTATCACAAAGTCACTGTGAGTTTGTGGCCAGTCCCTGTGAGCATGTGGCCAGTCCCGGCAAGGCATTCCAGTTTGTAGATGGGAACCTGCAATGCTGGCATATCTACAGTAGGGAATAGAGGACAGTGCAGAGATTCCTGGGCTAGTTACATCCATGAGATTCAGTGCAACACCTTGAAGAGAAACTATTCAGGAATGCAGAAATGGGATAGCTATTATCGTGGTGTTTTATTTGATCCAATAAACATGAGTCGCAAAAAAAGCTAATTGGCTTGGGCACAGGGACGTTCTGGGAGTCCACAAGTTCTGGCAGAAAGCTTCACTGCAGCGTATAGATATATCTACAAGGGAGAAAACAGTGACCAAGTAGGATGGTCTGTGACAGAGGAGGAGGTAAGCTCAGTCCCACTGAAGAGCCTGGATATTGCCCCAGTGGTCGAACCAGGAATGTGACAGAATGTGACCTTGCCAACAAAAAGCATCAGTTTGTTGTGGCAACAGGGCAGTTATGAAGTCAGCCAAGGGCAGAATCTCTGTGCTCATTGTGTCCTGACCTTTGATCTGGGAGAGCTGCTTTCACATTTTCTATATGGAAATCCTGTGAAGAGGGGACTATTGCCTTACGTTTAGCCTGCTACCTGCCCTGTCTTTGGACATTGGTTACCCATGGTAATCAGCTTGCTTTACTTTCTTCCTCTTCTACTCCCCTTCCCGAAACTCAATAACAAACAAATTAATTGTCTTACTTGATGAAATCTTTTCTCAGATGAGAAATCTGTGCTTTATATCACTTTTATAAAATGCAGCAAGTACGATGATCCTGGAAACAAGAGGTTGAATTCTTAGTTCACATGCCAGAATGTCTGCCTAGCTCTAGTCAGTTAAAAGGACAGTATTGACTTCTAGATAATGACTAGACATACCCTACAAGTTGTGATCTGACTATACTGGAGGCTGTAAGAAACTCCGCAGTCTAAGGTAGATTATCAGTCAACTTTTATTTCTGTGAAAGAAAAGCCATCCTCCTTTGAGCAGCAGAAGGATATTGATTATGTTACATTTTAAAGAAGTGCGAGATACTATTCTTACTTCCTGGGGGCCCCTCGCCAGCTCCACAGGTTACTGTAAAGGGAATTGCTGACAAATTCTCCTCCTAAAAAGCCTACACGTGAGATTTTCAGATCTAACTACAGACCTATACCCAGTGATTTTTTTTTTTTTTATTTGTATCTAGGCAAGGAACATGATGGAACATAAATGTGAGTTAAGCCCCTGGCCACTTCCATATAGGCTCCAGTATGCCCTGTGTGTATGTGCTTACATTATTCTGAGAGTCACTTCTTTTCTTACATACAGGTCACCTGCTTCATTGTCAGCACATATATATCCCCATTCCGTTCCAAAACACCCCTGGAGATGCTTAAACATCAGTGGAGGACTCCCATGTTGAGACAGAAACTCTGCTAAAGACCAGGAAAGACAAGGAGATTTGGAAGAACTCGGTGATCTAGAGGGATCAGAATATCCATTTCAAACACTATGGAAGAGCTTGAGGAAAATCAGAAAGTTATTCAACTTACTTCACAAGAAGCCCAGGATAATGCTAACAAGAAGCAGCAGCATGACAGGATGGTAAGTGGAAAATACAGTTTTGTCAGATATAAAACTACAATGCATTCTGGAAGATCAGCCAGGAAATTGAGTCTGCAAAGGAAAGTGAGGATTGTAAGACATTTGAGTTACTTCTCAGAGGTAAAGAACCTTAGTGGCTCCCATTTACATGGGTTAACATCAAATTCACAAGATATGAAATCCTTTAATTTGATCAAAAGAGCCATAGTGTTTGGCTTAGATGAACCAAGCACTAATTAAATATTTTAAATTTTTTCTTTATCTCTTCAAATCAGAAAATGTTTATATTGTGGATATTTCATATTTTGTAAGATAATATTCAGTAGAAGATTTCTTTTCCAACTCTAGGAACAAACTTTTTAAAGGGAAATAATGGATATTAGAGAACTAGTGACTCATTATACAAATGTGTGATTATCACTTGAACAAATATTGAGGTTGACTTAGATGAACATATTCTATTTTCATCTATCAGCTTAAATACAAATTTATCCTCCCCCTCTCCAAATTCCAGCAGGAAGCCATCAGACATGACAACATCATCTTTCATCTCAGACAGTAAAATGGAGGGCATGGATACTAAGTGTCTTAGAGCACATTTGGACATGAAGGAAGGAACCAGCGCTTTGCAGTCAGAAGTATCCACCAATTCAGAGGAGCGGGAACAGCTCTATGGCAAGCAGGTCACACCAGCTGATATTGAGCTTGAAAAGATGAGGTAGGATTTTGTGCTGGCTAAACTGAAATATGAACATGAGGATAAGGAAAAGCAAAGGCTTCATGAAGAGAGAATGGAGCAGATTCATCATCAGACAGTAAAAAGATCAGTAAGTAGGGAAAGGAAAAAGGGTTGAACACAGCAGAGACCAAAACATTCACATTCTATGTTAAACAGTGTGTAAGGTTTTAATCTTTCACATGCTAAGTAGTATCATGACTTCTTTTAAAGTTAGACTCAACTAGGTGATCTTTACAGCTTGTACATACACTTAGGGAGAATGGAGTTGTTCCACTCCCTAGAATATGAACTGTGGTAACGTTCATTGCTATAAAATATAGTGAAGAACAGTTAATGCACAAATGAACTTTATGATGTAAGGATCCAAGAACTTTTTTTTTTTTTTTTTACCTTATCTCTCCTCATTCCCCAAACATGAGAGGAACTGGTCTGAATGCCACTTTGATCAGTTCCCTGCTTCTACAGTGGGATCAATTTCCTGGGTTACAGTTAGATGACTCAGATAATAAATGCATGAATAAATGAGTGAATGAAAGAATCTACCAAAGTCATGCAAATTCCATAGACAGTCAGATTTTGCAAGCCTGTTTTTTTACAGAAGTAGATGAAGTTATCATACTTTCAGGCGTATGAGTCCGTTAACAGTAGTCCAGCCCAGAAGAGACCATTCTATTTGGCAGAGTTTAGTAAATGGGACAGCTGCAGGTCTGAGCTCTTCCTGATCTCATTGGCTGCCTGTGGGCCTGACTCTCCTCCAATATAATACAATTTGTCATTGGACTGAGTTAGAGAGTAAGCAGAATATCTGAATCTGAATCATCAACGTTTTAGAGGTACTTGCATGTTTGTCTTCTCTTGCATGTTCTGTGCTCTAAATCAGGACAGAATAGAAGGATGTGTTTTACACAGTCTTTGTAGCATTTGTGTTGTGGTTGTACACAGGAGCTCAGATCATGCACAAGAATGGCACTCGGCTAAGCACAGTATAATCCCTGAAGTTTTCAATATGCATTGATTTAATTATTTTCTTCCATATAGCAAATCCATAGGCCTGGATAGATCTCACAATTATGTGAAGTAAATGCAGTTCCAATGAAATCAATGAAATTATATCAGAGAAAAAAAGATGAGGATCAGGTCCAATATATATTTGTCTAAATTACTGACATGCATCTGGATTAACAAATTAACTACTGAATTTTTTTATTAAATTAAGACCTGAAAGTTTGCCCACGAACATGTGTAAAAGTATGAAAATTACCATGCAGTGAAAAAACATAGACAACGGTTTGTGCCACAGATGTAGAGATGGATACACAAAAACCTTACCATGGGTGTGCACTTACCTCACATGAACAGCTTTGTGTACCTCCACGCTTGTTCTTGCAGTAAATATGAGGTCACTTACCTTAATTTCAAAGAGATAAAATCTTGCTCATACTATGGATATGGGTGGGAATGTGACACCTATCACTTAACACAGCGTAGTTGATTTGCTCTCAGTTCACATGCTGGTTTATCTCACAGCAACTTTTAATGAACTGAGTGTGCCAGAAGGCCAGGTGTGCTCAGAGAAGCAGGGGACTGGGCACGAGTGGAACATAGTCGTGTGACATAATGTGTATCCTTTCCTTTTTCCACAGTTTAGTCAAGGACTCCAAGACCTACTCCAGTCCCCAAACCAGTATGCCTTGTTCCTATACTGCTTCATCGTTATTCATGTTATTTATACAGTAAAGGAGCTGGCCACCTGCTTTTTCCAAACCCATTACCTGTTCTATTTTGCTATTGTGCTCTTTTACGTTCTCAAAAAGATTTTCCAGGAGTACAAAAATAAGAAAAAATGTTCTTAAAAAAGGCAGCATATTGTACTCTTTTTGCCCCTGTTTTTGCTGCTTTTTTATTATCTTTTCCTCACTACACCAATCATACATGCAGGATTTCAGCTATTGTTATATGCACAGTAGCCTAATTATGGAAAACTAACTGATTTCCTCAAGAAAACTGTGACAGAATGACATCATTTGACTTCATGCTGGCTCACCAACGTTTGGCATCATTCAGAGGCATTCATCTATACAAATAAAGTTAAATGAAATAAGAAATAATTTTGGAGTGTGTTCTTTCTATTTTATCTGACCTCACTGGATTAACACAGTAACTTGGTTTTACCAATAATAAATTATCACAAAGAGGTTTCAGAGGTAGATTCATTAGCACAGAAGGAGGTGCTCAGGAAAATTTAATAATCTGTTACATGTTCACTACCATGCACTGGGCAGACACCTTGCTTTGCATTAGGGCTGTCTCTACCTCTGGGACAGAAGCATTCCTCTCTGTGCTGTGCCACCCTCCGTAGCTACACACAGTTTCTATCAGCAATAGACCAGCAAGCACTAGCAAGTGCATACATTCTTTATAAAGGTATTGTGACTTCTGAAGTATCCACACTGATAAGGAAAGATATCAAATGTAGCCCCAATAAAAAGGTGTTTTGTCTAGGAAGAAGGTGACTAGACCCTTTTAATACTATTTCAGTCATGCAATAAAGGATGTTTCCAGCAGAGAAAAGGTGAAAAGTCATCTACCATATGGTAGGTCGGTTAGAGTAAATAGAGTCTTATCAACTATCCAGTGTTGTTAGAATCAGAGCATAATTCACCCATATATCCCCATGCACATGCCTTACTCTGTTTTACTGAAATAAGTTTTTTCTCAGTTTGCATTCTCTTTGCACTGTGTTATTAACAGGAAAACAACCTAAAGAGTATTTGATAATCAGGCTGGATATGCAAAAAAACCATTCAGGGCAGGGTGAAATGGGTGTAGCCTAATACTACTCAGGTCTGTATCCATGATAAGTTTGACCTCAGTCAAGATGGATCTCAGTCAGGATTCTTTGGGCATGCCAGTGGCAATGTGTTTACAAAACCAGTGCTATGTACAAGGCTGTCTGAAGCAAGGCAGTACAGAAAAGAGTATTTCAGATCGAGGTGTAGTGACTGGGTAGTTTCCTGACAATGCAGAATGAGTGCAGAGGGTAGGGATTTCTCGCAGTTCCACAGCCTCTGTGTTTCCAAAGCAGTGGAAGGTTACAGGGAGGGTCCACTTTACATATACAGAAAAATCTGCAGACGATTGAAATGAATGCTGACACAATCTTCCTGAAAGGAAATTTAACCAGGCAAAGTGAGGTTGCTTGCTATAGGCATGACCTACATAAACAGATTTAGAGAACTAGAACAATCAAAAATAAGCAAGTAAATAAAAGCTTTATCCCAGCTGCAGTTCCTCTTTTTCCAGCAAAAGTGACCATTGCTGCTCACTGAAATCCCAGGCCCCCTCATCACTTTAGGATTCCTGTGGAAGGCTGTGATTCAACTTTATTTTTTAAAATTACCTGTAAATAAGCTGCTTTCAAATCAGTGGTTTTCTTTCACTGAAATTGTATCACCCAGACAACTGAGAGAAGCCTGTCCTTTATTTTCTGCTCAGTCTGAAAACAATTCCTGTAGATAATCTGTATATAAATATGGTTTGCAATGGCACAAGAGACTTCAAATACTTCATTGTTGGTAACTCTTGGGTTTTAATCAACAGGAGGGATTATATCAACCAGCATTTAATATTGTTAATTCAAATGACAGCTAGAATTAGTCAAGGATGCAAGACCACTGGAAGTTCCAGAATACCAAGTCTGCACAGAAGCATTATATTTAATACTCATTCAATGGTAACTTTTGGGGAGGGGCAGAAGGAGTTGGTAGTCTTTTGCATTTTATTTACTGCCCACAGGAGGTAATACTAAATAGTCTTAAGACAGCTGCCTTACCACACACACATATTCCAAACACACACATATCCCCAAATCATAAAATCAAGGAGAAAATTAGTCTACCCTTTCCCTGATAGGGGCTCTCTGAGCTGTTACAGGTACCGATGCTATACTTATAAACTTATTCTCACATTGATGAGAGCTAGAAGGTCTTTTGTTTGTTTGTTTGGATGGTTTTATTTTATGTGGTAATTTCTGTGTAGCTGCCTAGCTCCTGGAAGCTGCAGCTCAAAAAAATGTTGAAAATAATTGTTGATAGTCATGAGAAGTAGAAATACAGCAAAGAACAGAAAAATCCAAGCTCCTCCCTAACTGCTTCAGATCCTCTGAGCTTCGATCAGCTCTTGCCCATCCATCAGTGGGGTGACAGATACACCCTTTGAGTTGCCTGGCTGTGCCCTATGTCCTTATTTTATGACAGTAGGCACCTCATCACGAAGTGTATGGTTTCATGTGAAACCACATGAAACTTCATGGTTTCAGCTATTTTAAGCCTAAAAGTAGGCAGTATCTTACAGCTGGTTTGATTTCAAGACAACCAGCAAGTAAAAAAAGCTCAGGGTTGTAGCATAAGCTATTATAAAGTTTCAGAAGCCACTATGAAGAGCCCCAAATTAATGATTAAAAAATAATGTCATAATTCCTATGGGTTTTGGCAGCCAACGTGTGATTTATCAGTACCTGAGTTGGGCATTACTGACCTTGGCAAAACGTTTGCTAATTCACCTACTAGCAAAGACTGTATTTATCATTCTGCCGTAAGGAGGCTGGCTGCACCAAATCAAAGGACAAACTGGGTAGTGAAGGGAAGGCACCAACCGACTAGATAAGCAAAACCTGTTTCACATTTAGCAACTTCATTCTGGGGCCCTCTGGCAGGAAATTTTTCAAAGCTTGAAGCTGGGTGTTTTTAGACGGCTGCCAGGTCAGCTTTGTTGGGAACAGTTTGCACAGGCTCTTTTGGTGATTTCAGACCTCGGATTTAGATTTTGGGACCACGCTGAGCTCCCACCTCTAGGCAGGCGTAACAAACCTGTTCAAAACAATTTTTTTTTTTTTTTTTTTTTTTTTTTTTCATCCCTGCAGGGGGATGCTGAGGAGAGCGGGCCGAGGAGAGGCGCGGCGCAGCAGGCACAACACCTTGCGAGCGCAGCACCGCGTCGGCGCGGCCCCGGCTGAGCAAAACCCCCAGCGGGCGGGGCGGAGCCCGGCGCCCGGCGCCGCGGGAGGGACGCGGGGACACCGCGCCGGTACCAGCACGCCCCCCGCTTCGGCAGCTCCCTCGGCTTGCCAGCGAGCCCCGGGACGCCCCCGGGGGCGGGAGGGCCGGGCAGGGCCTGGTTTTAGGGACAGGTTGGGCGCAGGGGGAGTGACGGCCGAAGGGCAGCGGCCGGCCGGCCAGGGGAGCGAGGGACAAAGAAACCTTGGAGAGCTTCGGAGCAACGCAGGGGTGAGTGACCGGAGCCCTTCTGTAAGAGGGAAGGGATGGGGGGGTGTTGCGGGCGGGTTTTCATGCTCTGGAGAGCGTGAAGTTAACTTATTTTCACCTGTGCAATCGCGAAAGCGTTGCTCGGATCAGAAACCTGTAATAACTTGTGAAGATTTGCAAGTGGCAGTTAGGAGGGGTGAGGTGGGATAGGAGGAGAAAGAGAACTTGTTTTTGCTGAGCTGCAGCGGCGCCCCAGCTGCCCGGCGGTACCTGCGAGCTCAGGTGCGCTCCCCGCCGCCCTGAAACTGGGAAGGGTGTCAGGAAAGGGGCTCCTGCCCGCCTTGCTTTGGAGAGCAGTTTGTCCGTGGCAAAGAGCTGGGCGCAGTTCTGCTAGTTGTATAAAGGGTTGCCGTTGCAATGGATTGGATGCTTTTGCTCCAAATCTTTTCGGGACTGGTTTAAAGGCCAGTACTACACTTGCTAACAGGCATGAGCAGCCAGCTTCTGGGTATACTGTATGTACTCTGTGTTTGGGGGGAGTGGGGAGAAGATACTTTTGGGTCTTCTGTTACTCCTTTTTAGATTAATATAAGCTCTGCTGGAGAAAAACATTTTAGGTCCTGCCTGCTGTGTTCAGCTTTATGAATTGCTTTGTAGGTCTGACAGAACAAGGTAGGCTCTTAGTTGCATTACAGTTGTGGAGATGACTCCTTGATGTACAAAACTAGGGTGTTAAAAGTGTGTGTTTGTGGATGCAGGTGGCTGGTCCCTCCTCTCAGTGGTGGGAGGTGAGGCCTGATGGGGTAAGTGCTGGCACCTGGGATGCCACTGATCACAGCCAGGTGTGGATCAGCCCCCTTAGAGGAGCCTCACACCCTAAATCCCAGTCCTCTCTGTCCTTTTCCATCTTCTTTCCAAAGACCCAAACTATTTGGCCTAAATTACAGTAATGTTCTGGAATTATCCTTTTGTCTGTGCTTGGTTGTATAAGGGCTATCTTTGACATGTGTTGTATGTTTAAAAGCGAGACGCTTTACCACCCTGCAGAGATGCACTGTGTCTGTGTAAACACTTGTGTTCTTGGCTTTTCTCTAAAAGTTAAGATGTTTGTAGTTCTGTGGCTAGGTTAATTAACTCTGCACTTTTGGAATTCCCTTTGTCTTGTTTGGATCTTGGGAACTGTAGTTGCTCAGCACTTTGTGGACTCAAGTCCTTTCAAAGTACTTGAAATGCCCAACCTTGGATGGGTGTTACTGAAATGATAATTTGGCTTCTTAAAAGCTATGGTCTCTTGAGATATGTTATTGCTTTATTGTTGTTAAGAGAACTTTAAAAGCCTGCCTTGGTGCTTTTGTCCAAGGACCTTATCATGTAGGTAGCCTCTATGCTACATCGTGGTCCAACTTTCACTGAAACCAGTGTAAATCATTCTGTTAACCTCAGTGGTAGCTGGGTTAGCTGTTCTGGCTTGCAAAAGTACTCAAGAGTATTACCACTGTAGAGGCTGATGGGATAGCATAGCTGTAAAAATCTCATTACAGCCACAAAACTCTCCAGGTATGCACACTGGGCAGCAACTTTGACCTTAGTTGTTTGGTGTTTCCCACGGTGTCCTTCTGTTGGCAGCAGAAGCTGGCGGAGTGTGTGTTTGTTTGGGGGATTTTTGAGTACTTCAGTGAGGGAAGCCAGAAAATAGGTCCTTGTTTGCTTTCTCCTGCAGCCTTGATATCACAGTAAAGAACTTTAATTTCCATTAAGAAATGTCTCCGTGTTCTTTTTTTTTTTTTTTGTACGTGTGTTCTGTCCCTGAAGGTCTCACTGCTGTTGAGAAACTCTTGATATCCATGTGGGTTAATCTTACTGCAGAAAGAAAATTAGTGTGTGACTTCTCTCACCTGCTTAGTCCAATTAATGAATTGGTCACCGGCATGAGCAAAAATGGATTCAGGTGCATGCTTGGGGTGGGGAGAGAGGGATGAAGAAAAAGGATGAGGTGCATCTCTGAGATGCTGAGGGTGATTCTGGCTGAAGGAACAGAATTCACTGGACTCCAGTTTCTCTGATTAGGCTGAATGTGTGTGTGGGCTTTGCCACCTGCAAGGCATGAGCAGATATATCTCAGAGGTGTTCAGTGTGATGGTGTGCAGCTGGAACAAGGGCCTTAGCAGGACATTCATGTATGTGAATCAAGGTCTTGTTACTTAAATGGTTTGAAGTAGTAGCATGCTCACAGCCATTCCTCTATCCCTAGTTTAGTACGTATTTCTCCAGTGCTTCCTGAAGGACAACCTATGTCTGTCCCCAGTGCACTGCTGCCCTGCATGACTCCAGTACAAGCACCGCTGCCCCTTGTCCCCAGAGCTCTGGGTGCTGCTTCCTGCACGTCAGCTGGTGGCTCTGCCTTCAGCACTGGTGTAAGTAGAGATAAATGGCTTACAGGACTTGTGTTATTTCCAATCAGGTTGTCTTCTGAGTGCTGAGGGTAACCACCTAAAACGTGGTGTCTCTCCAGGGCCCAAGAACCACCATCACTCAGCTGGTGCTTAGGCTGAAAGTGCCCGTTGGGTCTGAAGCATGGAGGGATTGGGAGCTGTAGGAATTAGTGGAAACTTTTACCTCTTTCTAGAAGCCAGTCTGCTCACTGGCAAGAAAGAAGGTAGTAGACTCTATTTTGGGGCTGACTTTTTCCAGGTGGCCTTCATTAAGGATTTGAAGAAAGTTAGAGAGGTCTCTGGTCTGGTAGAGTTTTCTCTCCCTAAATTGTTTAGGTAGTAAGGCCTCTGTTCAGAAGGAAGAGCAGACAGCAGGGCTGGCACAGTCTAGCTGTCTGATAGTCACTTTAAAAAAAAAAAAAACCAAAAAAAACCAAACACCTTTGTCTTTGGGGGAAATTGCCATTATTATTATTATTTTTGCGGTGCTAGTATTTGGTCATGCAGAATTTGTGTGATTGCCTCTCACCATGATCTTACTGCAGGTGGACTCAGAAGCAAGGAGAAGTGTTGTTGACTGCTGTAAAATTGATGGTGTGCTTAAAGATGAGTATGTGCTTAGCTGTATACTTCTTTGTTGGACTAAATCCATGTGCAGAATGCTATTTCTTATAACATCTGTAAAAGGGAAATAATATTTCCCTCCCCTTTGAAGGTTGCAGGAGGCTGACTTGTAAGTTTTGACATATCATCTTTTTTTTTTTTGATGGACGGTGCTATTTAAACATCAAACTGCTTAAATATGTACTGTAAAATAGCGCAGAAAACAGGTGTAGAAAGAGCTCCCTCTGTGAATCATCCGTAGTCTAAGACTGCCCTCTTTTGAAGGTTATCAGTTCCTGCACTGGGCTCAGAGGGGTCTCTTACTAAAGTTGCTTCGCAGCTGACCCTTGCTTTTTATATTTTCCTTTAAAATGTTGATTTTCCTTTTAGAGGAAACGCTAGAAAGTCTCAGAATAATTCAAGACATTTGCTGCTGTGTTCACCCCAGGGTAGAAAACTGTCAGGTGAAATTTTTCTTCCTTTTATTTTTACCCTTCCTTTAGAAACAAGGTATGTTGCTGGAAGATTAGAGATAGCACAGCCTTTCAAAACATTTGTTTAAATGTGGCAAGGGTAGGGATGTAGATGACCGAACCTCGCCAAATTTTTGGAGAGATTTAACAATGCTGTACCTCAGTGCCGTAAGAAATCTTGCCCTGTGCTAGTATGCAGTGTCCTAAATCTCCTAGCTGATCGTACATGATTTTGAATTGTATTTTTCTTGAAGGTAACATCTTTTTAGTAATATGACCAGGGCAACAAGAAGATACAAGGACTAAGAACTCTGGTGCCAAAAGAAAATGTTTCTTTTGTTCATCTGTCAAGGTTTTGGGGGTTTTTTTGTGTTTGCCTTTTTTTGGTTGGTTGGTTGGTTTGTTTGTTTGTTTGTTTGTTTTTTTTTTAATTCTCCCATGTGATTTAAGGTTACACAATCTTGATATGGTTAAGTCACAGAATACTGTCCTATCTTACTCTTAAAGCTTGTTTTGATAGATTTTGGCGAGTAGTTTATTGTTTGTTTTAAGAATAAAACATATTTGAACATTTCTGCTGGCCTGGGAGCTTATCTGTTTTATTTTACTGCAGTGCTCCCCTGCAGCCTGATTTTTGCCCCATCTTATGGGATATCCTCAGGCCAGAGGAGAGATTCTTGCCCTGATCCATATTCCGGGCCAAGCCAAATGTGCCTTTGACATTGAGTAAACCAAGAGTCAGAAGACAGTAAGGCTTGCAGAAGGGAGGCAATCCAGAGCAGTGCTGTAGGCAGCTCAGTAGGACCATGACAACTTAACTTGTTTTCAGGGACTTCTTCTCAGAGTGAGCCTACCTGCCCATGGGTTGAGAACTGCAAAGGGCTAAATTGCTTTTTGCCTTGTCTGGGGTCATGTTATTTGTCACTTCTTAACAAAATACTGGAAACTTGGGATCAGCCCAGCACTATCATGTGTGTGTGCTGGATAAGGGTTCAGAAAAACCTGTAGCTGTCACGTATTCCCGACAGTGTTCTTCAGCTCACCAAATTAGTATCTGTTGTTGGTTCTGCTACAGAAATTTAAATGGAGAAAATGATTTTTATTTTCCTAGGAGAATAAGCAAATTAGTTGATTAACTCTTGTTGGCTCACCAAAGTTGTAACATCATTCAAAGATGTCCCACTTAAAAATGGTATTCTGAGTTTTTGTTTCTGACAAAACTAGTTCTTCAAGGGTGAAATAAGTTATCTTCTGTGTTCTTTCTTTGCAGTGAACAACCACTCTGTCTATTAAGATAAGAAAATGCCTGGGTTTTGTCTTCTTTGCACAAGCTGATATCTGAGAACATTCTCCCATAGTGGTGGGAGCATGTTCTTTCCAGAGCCTGTAGGGGGTGGAAAATTATTTTGGCCTCAAACCTTAATTCAGAGGTGCTGAATATGTAGTCACTCTAATAGCAGGAGTTTTAAGAGCATCTTTCAGTAAGGTGCTTTAGACTCTAAGCTGTGGTGGA